TGACAATTGGAGGGTTATTGGTGGCTGCAGTGTAGTGTGTGTTTGCATGTGCTTGAAAACAGTGCTGTTGAACAAAGTTTGTTCAAGTTTCTATAGAGCTTCCCACAAGCCGCACTTATGAAATCACCTTCAGCCACACAGCAAAATTGGTAGTAGTGCATTCAACCAAAAAAGAAAAAAAGAAAAATCTAATATAAAACGTGGGCCACACAACTGATTTCTTCATGTGAGTCAAATAATTAATTTAGCTATGTGTGCGTCCATTGCTCGTACCTAGAGGCCAGAGTCCGAGGTCCAAATTGTGGGCCACATTATTCAATCTTAGCCAGTGGGAGACCAGTTTTCTTTTCAAACATCCAGCATCTCTCCATTTCCAGGTTCACCCTGGAAACCTATGGTTAATTTAGTGTCAGTTTTACCTAGTGGCCAATCTGGATATTCTTAGAGTGTGGAAAATAATCTTAATCCCTGAAGAAAAGCCATGCACACACAAGACAAACACAAAACTCCACACAGACGCTGGACTCAGGGTGTCCAGAAGGGGGACATGGTCATTTTTAATTTGACACAGATTGGACTCAGGGTGTCCAGAAGGGGGACATTCGATGGACCAAAATAAATGTGAGTCAGGGATGTTTTGCCATAGATAGAGGCACAGCATTTGCTACAAATGTCCTTCTCATTTTTCATCTGTTATCCTTGTGTAATTTTTTTTAACCTGGTTTCCACAAAGTTCAAAAACATCAGCTTATAGCAGCCAAAACCCTTTGGTACCATGTTGAGGCTGATAGGTTTGTTCTAGGGTATTGTTTTCTGCCATAAAAGTCTGTATTAAAATGTGTAGGCCACGTATGTTAAGATTTGATGGACCAAACTTATCTTTCACATCAGAGAAGTTTGTTCTGACCAGTTTTAGTGTATGTCAGGGTAAGTTTCCTTGTCAGATGAAAGACACATTTTCCATTCCACAGATGTTACAGCAGAGGATTTCAGCTGGAGATTCTTGAATCTGATTATGGTTAAGAAGTAGTTTCTCAATATAATCTTTTTTTTGCTGTATCAGTTTGAATGACCATTTAACAAGCTATTCATGTCATTACTTATGTCAGATCTGAAAAGTAAATTCAACACATTCTCGTATTTGATTAAAATCTATTCATACAATGAACATGTGTTTCATTAAGTAAAGTTGTTTGCAGACGGACCCACACTTTGGGAAGCTCTGGTTAATACAAAAACCCCAACCGCAGATTCCCTTTGTTTGTGTGTGGTGCTTGTGTGTGCTCATCTAAAAGTGGTTTTCCTGTTTCTTCAGCTGGGTTAATATGATAAATACCATTATATACTGTAACTGTATATACCGTATATTAATACTCAGGAGAGGGTACCTTGGAAGCACTGACTAACACACACAGTAGAAAATAAATCACCTGGAGTTTATCGAAACGTCACATGTCTGCACTAGTTTGAGGTTACACAACTATTTCACCAGTATTGTCTACTACCACTGTCATCACACATTGTAGTAACTGTTATGATCAAGAGTGTCCAGTAATGTGTCCAGACCTACGTTTAAAGTTGTGTTAAACGCTGCACACACACACGCACACACACTGGGCTGAATAAGGAAACGTGTCAATCTTTTAGACTCTGCTACTCTACTCTACACAGCACCACAAGGTTTAACATAGCACCAGGTCGAAAATGTTTCAGGGAACTATGCTTTGTCATGCTTTTGTTCTTCTTAGGAAAATAACAGAGACTAATGTTCCTCCACTGCATGTTTGTGATCTTTATAATATATATCGTGATTTTGTACGGATAAGATTATCACCTGATATGTTCTGGAGCGCTGCTAAACTGATAAGAAAAGAGAACAAAACAGAGATAGAACAGGTGTCGGACATGTTCAGAGGCAAACCAATCTGCTTTTAAAGCGTTTTTCTTTACAATCCCAAGTTAGTTTTCACACAATGTACAAAATATCAGAGCAATTTCTACAAAACAAACGCCAAGCAGAGGGTCAAAGTTTGATGGCAACAACCCACTGTACACCACTGACCTACAGGCTGTTCAACTGAAGCACCTTCATATTTATACACACATGTCAATGTAAAGCCTTTCACTCATCAAGGGATTTTCTCCAGACAATTCTACACTTTTTTTATACTTTTTTAAAATATAATTTTGATTATTTGTCCACTGATATGACACACTGTATACGGTACATAACCAAAATAAAGCATGTTTTTACTGCAGCACAGTATCACAAACTGTGCATTTCCACTGAGGAAGTACCAATAACTGTATCAACCTCAGTGTTTAGAGAATGACAGTGGAGGATAAGATGAATCACCCTTCCTTTATACACAGTGTACGCTTGACAGCAAAAAAAAACAACAACATTAACTTCCAACAACAGTGCCTCAAAGTTGCAGGACATTTGGCACGAACCACATTCCACCTGCCGCATGAATAGCAAAGAACATCAATGGATCTTCAAAGATTTCAGCTAAACCTACGTCCCAACCAAACACACACAGATACACAAATAGCCTTTCTCTAGAACCTTTTTCCTACATTTCTGTAAGAATGTAATTCAGTGCGTCAAAGTAGGCGAGCGGCCATATGAAGTAATGCTTGTCTAAGGTAGGCACAAAGGCAGCCACTGAGCAACACTATTACTAGAGAGTGAATATTTCACCTTCTGTGAAATCCATGCTACTTTGTTAGGTTTGTTCTTTTGGTCTGCTTATGGTGACATTTGAACTTGTCTGCTCTCAGCAAAACAAGTTGCATTGCTGTTTTCTATTTACTCTGGTGTCAAAGGAGGGTTTAGGGGAGCTCTACGTAGAGCGTCCTCTGCTTAAGATGGTCAGAGGCAGGCTCAAGCACGTTTTTATGTTCTCATCTTATTAACAAGCATGCAGCCATCTACTGACATTTTACTGCATGGTCAAGGCCACTACTGCAGACCTAGTATGGAGATAGTATGGAGGAAGTTTCTGTTATTTGTTCAATTCCTTTATCGGGTGGAGCAATGGAAATGGAGGTGGACCCAAAGCTGGACGTACAAAGCCTTAAGTGGGTGTCAGCCAACTATGGTACCGTCCAGTTGCCCTTGGCTGAACTCCCACAGTGTGCAGCTCATATAAACTCTGGGTGGAATACTTGCAGAGCTGCACTAACACTTGGTTATCAGGGTAACATACTGGGACAGTGGAACATTCTTTTTTTTTTTTTTGAGCCAAACAGCCAAATATACATTCATTATCGGTAAGTATGTGAAAATAAAAATATAATATAATAATACAACTAATGAAAACACTCAGAACTCAGAGATCTTAGCCAGCAGGTGATGTACAACTGAAGAAGTCACATTAAATAAAAGGAGAATTTCCTTCTGTCTTGTTGTTGAACAAACAGAGCAGAGGCAGGTACCCATGTTTGATACAGTAGTTAGACAACAGAGGGCGATAGACAGGCTCCTCCATATGGATTTGTAGCTCACTATGTAGCCAGTTATGGACATTTTAAAATCACCTACAGTTAAATGTAATTTCCATTTGCCAAACAAAAAATAAATATATAAAAATAAAATAATTTAAAACATGATCAGTATCTGCACATACATACATACTTTAGCATGTGGTGCTGGAGGAGGCTAACAGGTTAGCAGAAAAGTTAGCAGAGTTTGCAGTGGTATATGAACTGATATGAATATACCAATAAAATATGATACAATTACCACATAAGGCAGATTCACTGGAACACTTGTACGGCAAAATCTGATTGGTTGATTTTTCAGCTCTTGAATAAACTGCAACATATAAACCGCGTGGGAAGCATTTCAGTGAACGCTGCTTATGTCTAGCCCCTCATCTCCCCTCCCCTCTATTTATAGACTTCAATAAACTCAGCTTGAACACCCTGTTCCATTATCTTAGGGCACTTGTTGTTTATTATAAATCTAATCTTGTAACTTTTGTACAAAAAAAAAATCTAAGCTTTAAGCAAAGCAATTGTTGACCACAAAATAAAAAATGGCGCCCATGACTTATACATCTCTGCCAGCAATTGAGGAAGGCCAGAATAAAGCTCTTTCTGGCTTGGTATTACAGTACTAAGCACCGGGGGCACTGTTTACCTCAGACAAATCTTTACAGCTGTCACATAAATGATTGTTAAAAGACTTTTTTTTAATTTTTTTTTTTATGAGAATACTTCCCTCTTTTTTCTCCTACAAGGTTTAGTTCCAGTTGACTTTTTGTGTTTTACTGTGGCCACCTGCCCAGTGTATTCTCTACTTTCAAACACTTGTTTCCATCGTATAAGAATGACTTGCAAAATAAAAATATGAAGATAATATATGAAACGTGGGCAGCAGTGCCGCAGATGAACACACCACTAATCAAGTCTAGTGGCTTAGGTAATAACTTCTCAAATACAGTATTCTACCTCTTATTTTGTTTGAGGAAACATGGATACATTCTGTCATACATTGCCTGCTAAACCAGCAGACAGTTGAAGGTAAACTATGGAGAAAGATTGCTTTGATACAGTAATAATTTGGCCTTTGGGAGAAGATGGTTATGCTAAAATGAATCCAGACGTTTGCTTGTTACCATAAATCATAGAAACAAAGCCACACCTGCTAACAGCCGGCCTTTGCTGTGTGAATTTCCTCAAAATCCTCCTGTCCTTTTACAAAATCAACACAACATGCGCTGCCAGTGTTGTGTAGGTAGAGATAGCGACTTAGTGACAAACAGTGAAGAAGTACACCGCACCATAGTATAACCCACATTTGGGTGAGCAGCACTCAAACTGGGAAAAGTCGTGGCTTTATTTATGTCCAGAGCAGTAGTTCACATCACCATCCCTAGTAGCAGAGGTGTCGAAGTAGAAAATTCACAAAAAGAAGAGGTTTGACTTTGACTAGGATTCTCCACCTTACAGACACGACAGCAGAAGCTGAATAGCAACTTCATGAGCTGCTGCTAACATTGCAGCCTCATAAGTAACCGTGGCTAAACGTAATCACTCAAATACCGAGGTGCTGAAAAAACACTATGACCATTAAAAAGAAATGTAGCACCTTTTTTTTAAAGACCTTCATTTGATTCCAGTTTTATGCTGTATTTGTATCTTAAATGTATGTGCTGTATCCATCTGGCCATGGAAAACAAAATACAGACACATAATTATAAAGTAATACACAGGGAGACTTATGAAAAGGTAAATAAAAAGGCAGCAAATGTTACAAAACAAGCACTCGCCCAACCCCCCCCCCAACCCCCAAAAAAGGCACAGCAAGGCGTGCCATGTAGTGGAGTGTTTGCAACAGTTACCTTCAAAATATTCCCAAGTCCTAGTGGTATGACTCCCAGATTGTTGTTCGAAGAGTCAAGTGTTTAAGAACACAGGGGACTCTTTGTCAGAAAAGAAATATAAACCTGTGTGTACTGTATGCTAGAATATGTCAGTTAGCTTTTTAATACAACTTATTTGGTTTTCTAAGCCCTGTGTAAAGTCTTTGAAGAGCCTAAATAGATAAAGCAGCCAGAGCGTTAAAATGGAAAACCTTACTAAAATGTAAGCCGTTTACTAAAATGCAAAAAAAAAAAAGAAAAAAAAAATTAAACCAAATTATGACAAAAAAAACAAACCCTATGTGTATTTTTTCTTTTAGAGTTGGTGGAATAGATGTCTGTCAAACAAATGTCTGGGTTTTAATTCAAGTGTTTAGGCAATGACATGACCACAAGAGGTTTTGGTAAACTGTCGTGGCTAATTGTCTAACTAATTGTGGTATAAATGCAGAGCTAAAGAAATGGCAATTTAGAAATAGAAGTTGTACTGTATACACCCCAGATATACAGATAGCGGACTTGCACCAACAACCTTTTAAACCAAATTGTTTGGTCAAATTGACATGATTTCATCCTCTCTAAGAGAGCACAGGGCTGGGCTGAAGTGTCCTCCACACTTGTTGCACTCTGGACTTGTACATGTCAGAACAGCAACAACAGGCAAAAACACACACTGAGCCACTGAAGAAGGTCAGACTGTGTCGCTAATCGTTGGCACTGTATCATAAATGAATATCCACACAAGATGAGAGAGAGATACCGTAATAGTCGTCATATTAGCTGTTTGTATAAGCACAATGCGTGTATGTATGTGTGTGTGCGTGTGTGTGTGTGTCAGATATAAACCCTTTTATCTACACGATTCATATTCAAAACAGGTCAAGTACGTACAGTATACCACAAGAATTACAGCAATTCTGCGTTTTACTCTGAGGTATATTTTTGCGGTTGAGAACCCTGTGTTTTAAATACTGACACTATTTCGTTGTTAGGAAAGGTAGATCGCAACCCCTTTCTGTAAAGATGCACCAGGCTTAACAGTGTGCTGTTTCACTGAAAAACCTAAAGATGTGAACACACCCCTAGTTATGAAACCTTGTCCCCACATACGTCACTCACACTTGGTTATTACTATGTATGTACATCAATTATTTTTCCAAGCTTTTTCAAGTGTAAAAGAGAGAAAAAAAACTGCAGTGTAGACAGTTTTTCTTTTGTTTTTTCAAAAAGAAACCATTCCTTGTCTACTTGTAATCAGACTTTTTTTTTCTACTTCAAAGAATTCAGATTAAGATTATCTGCTGCCATTCCTAAACACCAATGAACTTTAAGAGATTACAGGAAATGTACAGCAAATGGAAACAGCTAAGGAAGTAGTCGGGGGAGGGGCTAGTTGGCCACACGGGTCAGCGTAGAGTGCCGTAATTTGAGCTCTCTGAGTCTGCGCTGGCCAGAATACCTGTCTGGTCCTCGGCAGACTTCCTGCGGTGCAGGAGGGAGGCCAAATAGAAATAGGGGTTCTTTTTGCACTGCCGTTTCCTTTTTCTGTGGAATTCCAGGTCCGTCCCCTCTTTGGGTGTCTGTGATAGCTGCTGGGTCTGAGATGGGTGCGCACCTGAAAGGGAGACAGTGAGAAGCTCAGCAGTAACATACTGTAGCAGCTGCAGATACTCACGAGCTTCTTCAACAAACAAACTTAAACGACAAACTAAAGTTTAAGGAGATCATCCAAGGATTAGGGATGTCCGATGGTAGTTATCAGTTATTATCGGTAATATTAGCATAATTTTATATATTTAGTATTGTATATAAATATTGATTCATATCAGAATTAGAAAAAGTGATTGGTCGATATTGGCAAAAAATGAATCGTGGACATCCCCACCAAGGATGTTCCAGGGAGTTCCAATCCAGCATGTTGGTAGTATTAGACATGTTTGACTGAGTATTATAAATACTTTTTATCCACTAGGATTTGTTTATCCAAAACTACTAGTTGTATCAAATGTGTATTATCAACAATAAATGGTTGGACAGTTGAGGAATTGGATAAACACTTTGCGTCCCTTTAGCCCACGTGTTAGGATTCATTTAAATTTCAATGAATTTACATTAAATATTTTGGAAAATATTTGTTTACTGTGTAATTTCACAAGTAGTACATGCTTCAGCAGGTCATCAAAGTAGTTCCATAAAACTCTGTCCTCCCTCCTCAATAACACAGTGACAAACCTGTTCTGTGCGCCGGAGCTGTGTTGTTATTGTTGTTGGCAGCCAGACCCTTGGCTTTAGTTATACATTGTTGAAGTAGTGCTGGTAAACTCTCAGACTCAGCAGGATCACTAGACGCACCTAGAGGTTCCCTGAGAAGAGCAGAGACACAGCATAACATACAATGTTCAGCAATAATCCAACTGTCCAGCTCAGTCCTGTTGCTTGTGAAGAAGAAAACGGGTCACAGTCAAACAACGACCTGATGAACACGTGACTGTCTACTCTAGACACAGGATCTGTTGACTTTTAGAAAGGGGGTTTGTTTGTTCTTAATCAATCCTTATATTAAAGACCATGTCTTGATGTCTGGCCTGCCAAAAAGAAACGCTTGTTTGCAAATGGCCTAATACATGGGTGTCAAACATATGGCCCATGGGCCAACACCGGCCCACTAGGGTGTTCAATCCGGCCCGCTTCACGAACTTAATAAAATACATGAACACTTATGTTTCAGAATGTTTTTTTGTAAAATGATATAGTGAACCATAATGAGTTGGACACCCCTGCTCTATTATATTCTTTGCTGTAAATGTATTTTAACATGAATTGTACCAGTTGTGAAAGTAAGTTGTCCAAATATATGTAAACAAATGAAAGGACTTTGTTTTAAATTGCACTACAAATGAAGTACGGTGTAAGTCTATGAAAGAAAGTCCCTCTACTCTGACTCTGAACTCAAAGCTTTAGAGACGCTCCCATCACTTGTCACTGTGGAAAGAAAGATTGAGAGGAGTTAACAGAGGAGCAGTTTTAGACAGAGCTGAAATTATCCTAAACAAGAATGAAGGAACGAGAAAACTATAGTCAGTATTACAGACGCGCCTTACAGCACAGGTACAAATCTCTATAGACAAAAACACTGTACAGCACAATGTCATAAACATGAACACTGCGTACAGAGGCTTCACCATGCTGACGGGAGGAGATGACATAAAGAGGAAATGGCCATTAAAAACAGTCACATGACAGAAAAGAACGAATGCACTCAGGACGACAGATGTAACAGAGAATTTAGTCGGAGAACTGTTGTTATTCATTTGGTCGAAGAAAGAGGTTTAGAAAATGCATGCATGGCGTTTTGCACATGGAACAAAACTTTAAAGGGGAATACTCCAGTCTATCATACGTGTGCGACCTCTATTGATTCAAGCATTTTCTTTGTTTTTTAAAAATTTTCTTTTTGTATTTTTGGTGGATGGAAACATGTCTAAATTAGGAAAATAAGGGATCTAAAACAGATGCCTCTTCATTGTCTAAAACGCACTACTGCTGGCTCACATGCCTAGTAACTGTAGTGTCATCCAAAGTGTAGCAGGCTTACTGCACCTTACTGCATCTTTGTGTACCAATGACTGCATATCAAAATGGAAATAGCCACATGGTTGCTAATGCAGAAAAAACAGCAAAAGTACTCCACTGGTTTTGGAAGATTAGAACAGGTTTCTAATACTTATATTTGAGACTTTACTACTATCTGCCTTCCTTTTTACCTATTACGTACATAATACTTACAGTAGAGCATAACAGAGGAGTTTATAATGGAGTTTTTTTTTGTATTGATTTACACATTACAAACGTATTGGATATCGTATCAGGATATGTAGGACGGGGTTTTTCAACATCAGTTATTATCACAGTATTTCCTTAACCACTCAACTAGTCACCTACCTACCAATCAGCCTACTAACCTGAGTAACACCATCTACAGTACATACATGCTAATGTTCTTCTCTGTGTCCCTCAATTTTGGGAGTATACGTTCATATTTTTCTCTCTTCCTCACTCACTGTGCCTGTACTCCATGGCTCTTTCTTCAGAAAGATGGACTTCTGTGTCAACTTCTGCTCAAAACCAGTGTTGTATCTGTGCTTCTTTTTTGCAACCATATTTTAGAAGTGATCGGCTAGATTCATTGTTTCTACAGTCGAGGAGTTTACCAAACGTCACCTGTATTCTTTATTTCCATCAGCTAGCTCTTCACTTGAATCCAGCACAGAGGCACAATCCAAAGCAATTCCCCTTTAAAGGAGAGAGTGATTTGAGCCCTCCCCTACTGACCCCTCCCCTCTCAGACAGGGGTCCGACCCTTACCTATTGTGGCGTAGGGGACCGGGTCACAACAACGCTGCCCAGATAGCTGAGATCAATCAAAAACAAATCAAGTAAGACCCTTACCCGCTAAAAAAGCAGTAGCAGCCATAAAGCTATGTTCCCTTTAAATGCCAATAACATTGCAGGATCAAGTCTCTGACTCCTGGTTTAAGCCACTGTGCAGTACAGAACGAAAAGTACAGAACCTACTGTCAGTCTGGAGTATGTCTCAATGAATGTAGTTCAAATCAATGTTCTTTAGTTATAACTGAATAAAGTATTCTACTGATCAACTAAGAGGGCGTTTTTTAGTTGGTGCTCTGGTACTAAGTGCGAAGCCCAAGTATGTGTGTTACAATGGCAGTCATTTAGCTGGCTGCTCAGTTCCAGTTACCTGTGCCTTGACACAGTGCAATGCTAGATCTATTTTTGTGTTACTTGGATGGCAGCTCCTCCTTTAAACCAAACAAAGAAGCCTCTTGGATGAGACACTTAATATGAACTTTAAGTCCAGTTGTTAATGACCCTCATGATGTAAAGAACTAAAAGCTGAAAGAATGACAATCTCTCTTCTAATATTTACTGCCCTTTTTACAAAACACATTTCAAATCTACATAAATGAGCTAGACTAAAGCTGTCTTATCATTAATACTGCATCTGCTGGAAATACCTCTGTGGTCCAGTTGTGCATACTCAAGTTTGACACATCTGTATGGAAATGCTCTACAGTATCTATATGACAGTTCCACGCAATATTTTTTATCTTTTACCTTAAACAGAATGTGAACAAAAGTGTTGTCTACATAATGTAAGCTGTGAAACAGTAAAAAGCAAAACAAATGTGACTATAATAAACCCACACAGAAGCAAAAAAAAAAGCAAATAGCTATGTTAAAAATAGAACTTCTATTTAAACATCCCAAACATTGCAGATAAAGAGCCAATATTTAGCTTCAGTATAGCTGTAGCTGTTATTTAAATGTTGCATTGATGCCAATTACAGTATAAACAAAAAGTTCAAGTTGAGCTGTGCTTGAAAAACCATTAAATGGATCATTAAGTGTGGTTGTATGAGGGTGCACCCATTCTGTATCTTTCCAGTGTCCGTCCAAAGTCTGGGAATGGCATTTAGATAAAGGTCAAATCAGGGAAGTAACGACCCTGTGAGTGTCCACTGGATATTGATGTACAGAGTTGTAGTTGTTACAGTCTGATTAGCCATGACTGAAGGTATGGGGAAGTTACTGAAGATAGGCCAAGTACCTGTGGTACTGTATGAGAAAGACAGGAGTGACAGAGAAGTATGTAAGAGTGGTTCAGAAACTGTGTAGTCAGAGTGACAGATGGGTTCATAGTATGGATGAGATCAGCTCTGAAGAGACCAGATGGACCATGACGTTTGCAGATGACATTGTAAACTGTGATGTGAGTAGGGAGCAGATGGAAGAAAACCTGGAGAGGCAGAGGTTTTGCTTTGGAACAAAGAGGAACGAAGGTCAACAGGATCAAGACAGGATCCATTTGCATCAAAGACAGTGGGTCAAAAGGAAAGATAAGTTGAAAGGAGTAGAGGACGTTCAGGTGAGTTTAGGAACTAAGGGTTATTCGCTGAAAGTAATGTAGTGCACAAAGTAGGTGAAGATAAGGTGCAGGCTTGGTTGATTGAAGGGGGGTGGCAAGTGTCAGGGGTGATTTGTGAGGTTTTGGGTATGTGGGTCTGTCTAATAGACAGGAGACAATGTCATCTGTTGAGTCCAAACATTGTATAAATGTGGTAAATGCAATCGTGGAAGAGCTCCTCAAAAATACTTCCTCATACAACCACACTTCTAAAAAAGATTTTTAGTTTTTAAAAACCAATATTATACGTGATCTTTTCCTCTGGACAACCAGACCACCTACCCTGAGGCTGATATCTGGAGCTGGGAGGGCTCTGAGGGTAGCATCTCCTCCTCTGTCCTTCTCTGGCTTGGCCTCTGCCCAAATACATCCCTGCACTCAGGAGGGGGAGAGGGGGACTGTGAGGGGTAACTGGCTGCAGTGGAGGCATATGACATTTGGGCATGGTAACTGGGACTTGAATGAGCAGCAGCAGCAGCACCTTGCTGGCTCAGGGTGGGAGAGGTGCTCAGAGACGACCTCCTGGAGAAACTTACAGTAGCAGAGTGTTGCCGAGTGATCTCAGGCATCTCTAGAGATCGAGAGGTGCGGAGGATACTGGGACGTGGCGGGGGCCTTACTAAAATGTCTGGAGAACCTGGCTGGGTGCTAAGGGGGCTCTGAGAGAGGGGGGACAAGCGAGAGGGCTGGAGGACTAGTGGGGGTAGGCTGGGGTCTGCCCGGCGCCCTGCTCTCGGGCTGAGCCAGGACTGGGGACTACTACTGGGGGCTGTGCTTGGGCTTCCTGTGCAGGGTGCCGGGTCTGGGTAAGGCAACACTGGTACACCCACACCGTGGGATGTGTGTCTGAGCTGGCCGAGACTCTGGGCCTGTTGCATAGCTAAACGCCTAACCGGAGGCCCCTGGGGCCTGTCTCTGCCTGGGGGAGCCACAGGAACCTCCAACTGCAGGAGGCCAGGGCTTGTTGGATCCTGTAGAGAAGGAAGGTGCAGGCGACTGGGAGGGAAATGTTGAGAAGGGTAGAGGGGAGGGTCAGAGAGGTCCTGGGGATGATGTAAAGTATGATGAGGAGGAAAAATGAACCTTGGACCCTCCAGACCTAGGAAAGGTAGCTCATGTGGCTGCCAGCTTTCTAGTGAGTGTGACGGAGGACTGTGTGACAGCGAGTGGCCAGAGGCAGTGTACTGATGATGCTCCAATTCTCCACTCTCCTCAGGGATGGAAGGGTACCCAAAGGGACCCTCAGCAGTGCCCGGTGGTGAGGACAGAGCGGAGCTACGTGGGCTGATGTCAGGCATATAGAACGGTGGAGGAATCCCTGATTCAGTGCGGCTGCCGAGATACCCATAGAATGGACCGTGGGGAAAGCCCCGGTATCGGGAAGCCGGTGCCTGACCTGAGGCGTGAAGAGCACTGCCCTCAGCAAAGCCCATGCCTTCCATGGCCCTGTGCAGGCGGGGGCTGTAGGTGGGGGGCTGCGTTGACTCAAGGCTGGATGATGTTGGAGACAGCTGGGGCCGAAGGGTGGGCATGATGGGTGGAAGAGGCCCGGGGTCAAAATCATTCTCCTCATCAGACTGTCTGAACTCAGGGTACATATCTGACTCTTCAGCAAAAGGGAAGCCTTGGATGCGTCGAGGTGGCGGACTGCTCTCAACTACAAATCGGCCATCTGGGCCTCGGCTTATTAGCTCTATAGGTGTAGTGACTTCTGCCTCATGCTTGGAAACACTGTATTTCTTGCTGGTTATGGCGCGCTTGGTTTTCTTGTAAAAAGAAAGCTCTTTGTCTTTTTCACTCTGAGGGCTTGGCAGTTTCCTGACGTACAGGCCTGGACCCTGGGACCCTTCTGAGGAAAGAGAGCGGGGTCGTGATGGAGGAGAGCTCTCTGGACTTATCTTCCCCGAAGATAACCTGAAAGAAAAAGCAGACAAAGCTGAGCTTTGAGAATAAAGTGAAAAGTCCTTTTGCTGTTACTAAGAGGTTCAGACTGAGGGGAAACTTCAGGTTTGAATTGTTGTTCTACGAGGTTTTGACACAAAATAGCTTTTTTCCTAAGCAGATAATTATCCTGCACATTCCTAGTGGCTTTTTGGAGTGGAATACCAAACTTTTGCCCATTGAAAATCTGTAGGCCACAGCTCAGACCGAATCCCCATTTTCATTATTATCATGTCAATAATGAAACTGAACTATAACTAAACTGTGAACTATTTATTCTAATACCGACCAAAGTTTGCTTGAAAAAAACAGACCAAAAGATTAATGTTTTAATCACATAATGGTGAGTTATTGTACATGGAAATAGCATCAGGTAGAAAATAGTTTTTATATTTCTCTTTACGTCAGAGGAGCTAAATGAGGCCTGAGTTCTTACCAGTTGAAGCAGCAGCTTTTTTTATTTTAGGGTCATTTATGTTTCTATTTCAACCTGACTGGATTGTTGCTGTGTTAAACAGCCAACTCTGTCATATCTGCAGCTGGTTCAACGCATGATAATTTAGGTCAGCTGATCAGCCCCTTTTGGTTGCTCCCACCACCCAGTGAGGTGAACTAGTGTGTTTTTCTTGTGCAGCAGTTCTGTCTTTTAACCTGTTCAGCTGTCACAGTCACCAGTGTTTCAGAGCCAATGTTTGTTACTGGGGATCTTTAGATGTTTGTCAAAAGTTGATGTCTTATGTAATGCTAATATATTGGCAAAGACCAATGGGCTGAACAATTTGTGCAGTTCGTAGCTGACTAACTAGGCCGTTGATAATGTGTCATTCCGTGATACAACCAAAAAACCTGAAATTTGACTTGGTGTGAACGTAAGATGTCAGTGGATTCTAAAAGGGTTGATATGAAAACAAAGAGGATGACAATAAGGAGCAGCTTACAGATGAGACGGAAGCAAATAAACCAAGCCATAACAATGGACAAGACAGGACAAGAAGAGCAACATATGAGGGAGGACAAGATCGACTGAACAGCTCAGCATTGGTCACTACATATTTTTGATCAGATATGAAACCAAAGGGAATAGATTCCACCTTACTAGAAATCGTTTGTCCACACCAGGAGCAGCAGAATGGACTCACTGTATACCATGAATATAAAAATGGAAGGAGCTGTATGGTTGCATACTGTAATCTTTGAAGGAAGCCCAAGAAAATCAACTTACAGTAGGAGAAATGTTGAAAGAATAAAAATCTAATCTAATACAACATTCAGCACAAGGGCTTATTTGGTAAAAAAAAACATTCATGGATATTATATATGTAAAGACCATGATATTTTGATTATCTTAATTTTTAAAATAATTTATAATTAATAACTTAAATAATAACATTAACTATGACTATAATATTTCTTTAAATTATTCTACCTCAGCACCATCCTATTACTCAAAGACTAACATTTCTTGAGTGCGTGGCTGCTATCAAAAACTTTAAGTAATACATTCAGTTGCTTACATTTGATCCCTAACATTGTTATCCTCACCAATCACCTACAAGTAAAGCTGAAGGCTACACTTTCATGTGTTGAACTTTTCTAGAAATGAGGTTTTTACTTTAGAGTTAGTGGTGCTACTTCTGGGGCTTACTTTGCAACTATACCACGTTATCCATTTTTATTCATGGTCTGTGCATACAGTACATTATAACGTGGGCAGATATACAGGGATGTACTGTTACATGCAGCCCTCGTGTTTTTTCTTTCTCCGTTTTGGGTTTTGAGTGACAGTGGATGCATGCATCTGGACCAGTCGTAGACTTCACTACAAGATCTTTTCACCATCACTTTATCCTGTTTCTTTAACCTTAACAGCGATGCATTAAACCATGCAGCCAAGCCAGTGTATTGCGGCAGAGTGCAGGGCAATGCAATGCAGTGCAGAGCCTTGCAGTGCAGCACAGCTCTGCAGCACTGTCTTTTTGGTGCAGGCAGGCACTCACAGGGGGCTGGCAGGTGGAGGCAAGAAACTGCTCCTGGCAGGCTCGTCCCAGCAGGGCTCTACCCCAGGCAATGGGGTCAGAGGAGGCCTGCGATGGGAGACAAACCACAGGGGCCTGATTTATCCGTTTTTTTGTAGTCAATTCAATAATTTTTTTTCCATCTTTAGCTTTACTACAAATTAGACAAATTGGGCTTCTCTTACTAGCATGTACTCTGAAAATGAATTTTGTTTTTACAATAATAAAAAATAAAAAAACCAACTCATCCATTGATACTAAAAATGCAGTGTACACAGCAGGTTTGAAAGAGACATACACACACATGAAGAAGATACAGTAAATGTGCAGCTAAACCACAAAAACAAAATGGCACAGAAAGAAACTCTAATAGTCATGCACAAAGCAGACACTGTTTGAGGTTTACACATAAATCAAAAATCAATACACACACACACACACACACACTGCAGTCTGGCTGCTCTTGGCAAATGTGTTTAAATGCTGACTGGGCTGTTGTGAACTCTGCACAGTCTGCTGTTTATTCAGGCGCTACTGTACATGATCTTCAACATAATTCCGGCCCAGACAGCATGCAGATGTAGGCCACACGTGGCTGTGATGCATCATGGTAGGCCTTCAACTGACCTGACAGTAAATGATTTGTACCTAATGTGACCGACACGTAAGGCAACATGTAGGATATATGTGTGTGTACTGTGTGTAATTATACAGTATATATATGTGTGTGTGTGTGTATATATATATAGATAGATATCATACAGTGTACAGTTTATAGCTCACACCCGATTTTCAGCTTTAATGGCCAATATTTGGCACATTAGGCTGAAATAACACATTGTAATAATAGTAGCAGAATGCTACATTAATATCAGGTACTGAAAGTGCATGTATGTTGTTAAAAATCAAAGTGTAATATGTGTGAACACAGGTCAGGCCTGGACGACAAAAACTTTCAATCTAGGAAAAACAAATCCATGCAACATGTAATCACTAATATTAATGAAACTTCAAATGATTCTTCTTTAAATGTTCTCGCTTAAATGTGACAGACAATAGATTTGGGATCATCTACATCATTTTACATATCACAATCATTTAAAAAAATAAAGCAATGGCAGCATGTTGGAGGAGAAAAGAAGGTATCGGATTGATATCGGTATTGGACATAAAAAGCCGTATTGAGCTGTTGTATTTCCATGGCCACTTTAATACACTATTGTCTATTGTCGTCTCTGTGGCGCATGTTGGTTAGTGCATTGGTCTGTAGCACAGGGACGACATTCAGGCTGCTGTATACTCCCCAAGCCCCCATGAGGCAGTGGGACCGACACCCTACTGCCTATACATTTGTTTTCGTCCATAACGAGGAGCTTTCAGGTATCTTTTTGATACCTGAAATCTGACATTTTACAGTAGTAAAACTAGCGCCCCACCGCTAATCAGCAGTTGGCAGGGGAGGGAGTTGGGGGTGGGTTTGAGGGGTATCTTCAAACCTTCACATTCAGGATAACTTCCCCAAAAAAAGTTAGATGAAGGACAAGAGTTTTCCTTTAAATTAACATTGATTCTGATGCAGTAAGGGGATGGACTGACATCAGACTACTACTAAGGCCGAGAACCATGAAGTTTCATTAGTGTGTGATTCAAAGTGCACATTTGGATCACTTGTTTACACATCTCTAGACTTTATTTTGTGAAAGGCTTAGATAAATGTGCATTATGACTATTCATAATTAGCTATAATTGTGTGAAGGTGTGAAAGAATACAACTACAGCTCTTTTACTTACGGTGACTCAATGCTCTTCCTAAAGTGTGTCACAGACAAGGGAGGATCTGAAACAAACAGAAAAAAAACCCATTCAGATTAGGATTTTCTTCTACGGAACACTTTTTTCCATCTGTGTTCTTTTAAAAACAGATGAACAGCTAAACTGACCTGGTTTACGTTTGAGTTTGTGTCGGTGTTGTTTATTGACAAAGCAGGCAGCCAGAGTGCTAAAGAGGACAGCCGCTGCCAGGAAACATATGGTCGCAACAACTCCTGCCACCACCGGTCGGGCCAGGCCCTCGTCAGGCAACTCTGGAGGAGGGAAGGGATCTGACCGAACGGTGGAACACCAAAATCTTTTCAGTGACATCTTTTGATCCTACTACATCACTATTCGGTTGGAAAAACACTGACCTGTACTAGAAACTCCGACCACGTTGCTGCTCTCACTGATCAGGTCGTCCATGACAGCCATCACTCGAAACTCATACCAGGCCTCCTGCCAAAACACAAGATTAGAGAACGCTGACTGTTGGCAAAATAAAGCTGAGTTTGCTCATTCGAACCCTTCTGTATCAAGGTTGGCTGGTTGGTATTTAAGCAGTCAGGACACAGATATGTGCTCTGATTTGTAAAGAATTTCAACTGAGGTTAAAGCATTGGTTTCCCAACCTTGTGTAAAAAAGATTTCTTATCTTCAGGAGGACGAAAAAAACCCTATCAACGCGTTGACGAATCAGATCCTTGAATCGTTGAAGGATCATTACATTTTCAAAATAAAAGCTCTTTTAGACTTTATTCTGCTAGTATGGCAGTCTGAATGAGAAACCTAAGTGGATATGACTGGATTGTTTTTGAAAAGATTTAGTACTGCGGACCAGTACCAAATAACCCTTGAACCAGCACCGGTCCCCAGACCAGAGGTTAGGAACAGATGCAAATCACCTAAATAAGCACCTTATTTTTCTGAGGCGTCAAATACAATGAACAATATTATTTTACTACATACAGTACTAATGCGTTCTTAGCACATTTTCACCATTTGTGACTAGCATACGGTTTCTCTGCCACTTATAAAAGCTGACGTTCTCCAGCACACTGACCTGAACAAGGTCTTTGGCTATGATCTCAGTCTCTGTGGATGAGATCAAGTCATCTAGAACCTCCCATCTCTCCCCAAGGCGGAACTCCATGATGTACCGATCGATGGGTGAGGAGTGGTTAGCGGGCGGAAGCCACGTGAGGAGGACACCATGCTGGGTGCGATTGGCGGTGAGGCACCGTGGTGGAGTAAGAAGCACCAGTGGTTCTGGGGTACCCAGAGGGGAGCCTGCAGTAGAACAGTACCAGAACACTGTTGGACACATGGATCTGTGTGTTTCCACAGGATCAGTGAAATGTTTGGGACATCGTTATATGTACAGTTTCACAGAAACAGTCTGTTTGTTATGTGAGTTTACTATGATCAAGTCACACCAAACCCCCAAACCCACATCCCTGCAAAGTAAATACTATTGAGCACCTGATCTATATTTGTATCTGTACGAACCACTGTATGAGTTGCTGCCACCTAGTGACTGGAGGCTGGTTATCATTCAAGCATTACAGCAGTAGTAGATGTATGTCCAGCGTGCCATATTCCACTGGAAGCCCCTCACGCCCCTCCTGGGGGGCCCGCCCCACTATTTGAGAAGTACTGCTGTACACATTGGTCGATTTGATGTGTCAGTCTTGAATGGTTAAAAGCTGAATGTGGCCCCGGAGTCACAGGTTGCAGTAGTACTCTACTTCAAGTATAGTCTCCAGGCTTCATGTTTTAAACAAAATTCCTATAGTTGTCACGAATAGCTGTATGATCTGATATTAAAATCAAGAACATATAGTATTTTTATATTTTTTATAACTAAAATAAGCATCAATATAAGCCTTAACCACACTGGAGGACAGTACTTTTGAAGTATGCAAATCACTGAGTAGACTCATAACCTGATAGGTTGACTTGTCTCACCTGCAGTGTTGACTGTCACTACTTCACTGAATGGACCTGTGCCCAGTTTGTTCTGGGCCAACACACTGAACTGGTACTCAGTCCCAGGCTCCAGTCCTGGCACCACCAACCAGGTCTGAGCACCAGAAACTGGCATTGAGTGCCAGTCATGAGGACCGAAGTCTGTTCTCTTTGATCTGAAATAAAAAAAAAACTCAATGTGAAAAAGTTCAACAATAATGTAACATACATATGTGGATATGAGAAAGTTAAAGCCACACAACGCATAAATTCGATTTTTTTTTTTACGGCCAGATTGATGATCTCTTGCGGCATGTTAGTTTGCCACGGCGCCATGGTTGAAGTTGTTGTCTTGAATAATATCGATGAAGAGAAACAGTCCATTTATAAGAAAACCAAGAGCACTCACACTGGACCGTACCACACAGAGAACGTCTGCTCAAAGCCACCGTCATAACCTGGTTCCCAGGAAACGTTAGCAGAAGTTGTAGCGGGCAGGACGTGGATATTTCCTGGAGCATGTGGGCTGGTGCCTGACAGGGTTCAAAGGTTTAGAGACAGGATACAATACTTTTATACTAAGTACTTCAAATATGTGGAAAGGTCCTAATTTAGACCTAGAGGTAATTAATATTCTACGCTCTGAACAGGTCATTTGTGTAACTGGTGGTTCTGCAGCAGGCTGTTAAAGATATGGTGCAAATAAAACCTTTTAAGACCGAAGTTAAAAATGCCAGGGTTTTAATGGGAAACAATAACACTAGATTTATTTTACAACTTTCTTCATCTTTCCTAAATCCAGAAATATGTACTCGTTCCTATAAAACTTTTCAGGCAGGGGTAAATATAAAATCCAAACAATGTGTTAAAATAGCACAAGATCACATAGCACTGTTTTATTACAGCACTAGTCTGGGAAAACAGCTGACCCTGACATGGCATTTTCTTTTTACAAAAGCCTCCAAATCAGTCCGACTGTAAGGGCATCTTTATCCAAAATAGAAAATCTACAACATTCCTCCACCCCAACCAAAGCCCAGGTCTCATCTGTAGAAAAACAACCACAAAGTAGTTGTAGTGATATGAGAGGTTCTGTGTCTGCGGTTGCTCTTTAGGAAACTGTTTAGACCAAATGTTGCCAACTTGTTCTCATGAGACTGGAACATATTCATATTTGGAGAACTGTTTTTCCAGAGTTTGTATTTCTTTGTTTTGTTTTTACCGATGACGAGGATTCGCGTGCTGGCAGTGATGCTTGTGACCACATTGGTGGCGACACACTCCCATTCTCCGTGGTCTTCCTTGCTGAGGGAGACGAACTGTAAGCTGCCGCTGGGGAGGATGTTGTGCTTACTCCTGCTCGGCTTCCCCACCTTGGTGGAAACACAGGACAATGACAGGATCATGATTTGAAAAAGAGAAAAAAAGAAAAAATAAACTGTCAAAGTACTGCACCTTTCTCCAGGTGATAGTAGGAATATCAGGGTCTCCAGAAGCAGCACATGGTATTACAAGCTCTCGCCCAGCCTCCTGACGGTACTCCCCCCCAGGCCTTACGTTAAAGTAAGGGGGATCCTGTAGAAACACACAGAATCAGAAAATCGGGGTCGGGGAGCCAAAGCAGGAAAAAGTTAACATGTAACCAGCCGTGTTACAGGCACCGTTTGGAAAAAAGTTTAGCAGCTTATAATCAGGTGCGCTCAATAGTCCAGAAATTGTGCTATTTGAATACTGTCAACTATGTCAAAACATCAGAAGTTAAGTGTATGTTTAGATCCCTTGGTTTGACTGAGTCACTTTCTTATATCAAATGGACTTCAAACACTAAAGACAACAGTGAAAAGAGCAGAAATGTACCTTTAGCACCAGACTAGCAGGGGGGGACATGCCCATGGTACCCAGGGCGTTGTAAGGCACACAGGTGTAGGTGCCCAGGGAGTCTTCTGTGGCCTCCGCGACCCTAATGCTTCCGTCTGGCATCACACTCCAACCAGGGTACTACAAGATGAGATTTAAGAAACACACAAAAACACACTCCCACACGTCAAAATAATTTGTTCAACCTTTGTGTTGCCCTATGATAACAAGTGTTAGAAGTAAATAAAGTAAAACAAATAACAATAGATGCTAGATACTAAAACAGGAAACATCTCACTGTAAACACACACCTTCTCCACTCGCAGAGGGTAGCCATCTTTTTCCCACTTCACTGACATCACCGGTGGGTTGGCGTCCACAGGGCAGCGGATGATGCCGGGCAGCTTCCGTGGGACGTAAATAACTGGGGGCATGTTGATCACACGGGCAGGATCTGGACAATAACAGAAAGGACGACCATAAAGACAGAAATTATACACAGAGTAAAACATGTAAATGTACACAGAAATATGTCGCACATACAGTATGTATTAGAGATGCACTGACACCAAGACCAGTGTAGGTATCAGGCCAAAAACTCACTTTCTCCTCAGCTGTCTGAGTCAACTATACAGAGATTTTAATTTAAATGTATCCTCATTTTTATTTCATTTTTATCGTCTTAACCTCAGTGTTATTGATGTATGACATCACTGCAGTGTCTGTTTTTCTTCACACAAATAATTTAATTATTTTTGACTTGAAAAAGTATTTAATTAAAAAAAAATAAAACTGCTTCCTGTTTGACGTCCTCACTGTTTGGGTTGAGCTGGCAACCCAAACTAAAGAAGTATTGTGACAGTACTCGGTATCTGCGACTACTACAAAGGATTGTAGAAAAAGCTACGTGACATCCGTAGGTTATATTATGCATAACTTCAATAAAATACAAGGAAAACAACCAGGAATGTACCCTGTGCTGTTTGTTTTGGTGCTGTTATATTTACCCCATGTGTTCTCTGGGCTCAGACAACGTAGTTTCACACACATTTTCCAGCACTCCAGTTTCCATCATGGTATCCTGTTTCTGAAGACAATAATAAGCTGTGTGCCTGCAGTGCTGGGGATTCCTTCAGCTCTCCCCCCCCCCCCCCCCCCCCCTCCCCTTTATTTCTGTAGCACAGTAATCAATGACCAGCAGCTACAGTTCTCTGGGAGCAAATTACCTACACATGCACGGAGCTGGTGTGTGAACACCAGCAGAGCTCTGTTCTCTCTGTGTGCCTCTCACCAGTCACAGCAAGGTCTGCATTTGTTTGATTTTACACAAGGATGGGGGGATTTGGGAAGAGGAAGAGGAAAAGGAGGAGAGCAAGGACTCCATCTTTGTGCTCTGGAATGAGGCGGCTGGAGTCAGAGCGGATGATTTCTGATTATGGAATTCCACTGAGCAAATGAAAATGGCAGAAATAGGCTGGCTCAAAATGAAGACGGGGGGGGCATGTTCAACACTAGTGGTAGGGTGGAGGAACTGCTACTATGGCTGCTTCTTCATGATGTGTGACCTTGAAATTCAATAAGGTCACTTTACATGGGGCCGACGGAGCAGCAGGAAGCCAAATAATACAGGCACTAGCTTGGTGCTGCTGCTGCTGCTCCATCGCTCCCTGACACCCCCCCCCCCCCTCTGTTCACCATAGCAACACTCACATTGAACAGTCAGGTAGGCCGATGCTGAGGGCGAGATGCCGAGGCTGTTGCTCGGACTGCAGGTGTATTTCCCAGCATCCTCTGGCTTAACCCGGTATATGATGAGGGTGCCGTCAATGAGGATGCGCACACGCAGCTTCATATCACTGCACACACACACACACACACACACATAACATATGATTAAAAATACATACGAGCAACAACGGCGCTTTTTGTTCTTCATTTCCATCAACAGGCCATTAGAGAGCAGCAGAGAGTCAAAGAGCAGCTGTGCAACATTTCAATACATCTGTCCACTATCTTGGTCAGCTGCTGTCTTTACATCAGTCCATCCCGTTAATGTAACCCAACTGCCCTTTGTTTCTTAAGAAATTAAATTAATTTAAACTATTCAGTAAATAAATACAATTATTGAACATTTAAACTATTAGTGTATTTTATATATATATATAAAAAAAATAGCTAAAAGTCATAGTAAGGAAATACTCAAACTATGAATAATACAACATCTAGAAGTTATCAAATAAATACCAAAAGGTGCTGAGAATTAGCCTCAAGATGACTAATAGTTTGTTAAAAACAGCAGGTAAAAAGCAGAAGGTGTGTTAACATTTCAGAGAAATAAACAAAGCATGAATGTAACAAAAGGTTAAAGGTAAGCGAAACAAAGAGAGCTGTAATAACAGGAGAGCTGCTTGGACATCCTGGTTGAGTGAGTCACAGTAGTGACGTTACTTCTTGAAGTAGACGTTGTCCTCCTCCCAGAACCAAGTGTAGGTCAGGTTGCCAGGATAGGCCTCGGCCTGGCAGGTAAAGAGTGCATTCTGGGAAATGTTGACGGTGACGTTTTCTGGGGGTGACACAATGTATGGAGGCCCTAGAAAAAGAGACAGAGAAGAGTTTGGTTTGGTTTCAATAAATATGTGATGAACTGCAAGGCAGTGTCATATAGGTGGGTTAGGGTTCGGGGAAGCAGTTGGACATGCATGTGTAGAGTCAACCTAAACCACAGAAAGGGAAACCAAGCAGGGAAATGCTTAAAGACAGTATGAGAACAGGAGGTCCTCAGTTTACGTTTCGTGGTTCCGCCCTCATTTCCCATAAATTTATAAAGTAGTCTTGTTCCATAATTTTGACAAAAGACACTAAAACAAGTTTCACACTGGAACTCTGGGGGCTAGTGGTCAAATATGTCGTCGTGTGGTACTATACCTGGAACATCTTTGTTTACATTTGCCAGTTGTACCACATACAACGGACTGTGCTACATTCACTTTCATCATTGCTCCCAGGTGTAAGTCCGACTCTTCTGGTGTTTTTATGTCCTGGATTATGATGTTACCACTGCGTTAGCAAAGGTGGGTGATAATGGTACCTATGTAGGAACGGAATTCCAACCGAAATTGAGGGCTCACTGTATTTGAATAAAGTACTGGGCCCAATGCTACCAGTAATACTGGTGTGGGTCTGGGTACATCCCTACTTTCATCTATTTGTCTACATTGTTTCCTATTTTGAGCTACTTTAGCAGCTATCTAAGCTATTGGCTATCTTATCTTATCTCTTATCTTATCAACCATACATTTCAATGCTATTCTTGAAAATGTGACAAACCTTCAGTTCACCCCAGAGTATTCATAATCTACTCCAGTGGTGTGATGTAGAAGTGCAGCTGTAGCAGCTAAAGTGTTGGACCTCACACATGCTTAACATTCTCCACATTTTACCACTCAGGGTTCTCCAGGTTTTGTTCCTGACTCTATAAAAAGAGCAAAAGCCATTAAAGGTAAGCTGTCTTTCATGAGCGGCTGCAGATCCAGAGGTCCTGTTTATTATTCTCTGCACGTTCACAGATTTATAATGGCTGTGAGTGGTTCACAAACCATTTAAAACCGAGATCTTAAGTTGATCATACGCTTCTAATTCCAACACAATTAAAGTTAATGTAAAATCATTGGCTAACAATAGTCTTTGTTGTTCAGAATTTAACATAGAGAAGATTTAAATCGGACATTAACAGGGAAATGTTTCCTTATATCTGGCCACAGCTATGTAAAAATAAAGACTAGGAACTATAAACTTTTAATGACATCAACATTACATCACTTTTAAAAAGTCATTTATCCTAGCTTTTGGCTAGCTTTTACTTGTAATTTTGCTATTTTGATAATGCCAAAATGTACTCTTGTGACTGGTGCACCCAGTCATTCAGAGAAAACAGACTTAAACAGGTTCATTTCATTTGTCAGTAACCTCAGGGTTTCAAGTTGTAAAAGTGGTCCTGACACCGCAGGACAAAATAAATGTCAATGTCTAACGTGGAGACCACTGATGACATACCATGTCCTAAAATGGCTGTCCAGCTCCTCTGAGGCAGATATCTAACAACTTCCTTGTTCCACAAGGTAAAAATCAGATAAAGAGCAGGACCAGAATCTTGTTTTGATATATTAAAAGCATAATGATTTACTAGTCGTTCACACCACCACCACCACCACCGCTGCTGCTGCTGCTGTGAACTGCTTTGGCTGAAAGAGATCCCATTCACCGTTGCTTACACTGGAGCTTCTTTTATTTTATTTTTATGAGTGCCTCTTTGGAGCTGTTAGTGTGCACACACATTGTGGATCTAAAAAAGAAAAAAATATCTTTGACAGCAGGATGCTCAGCTGCTCGTTCCATTGACATGGATCTAAAAAAGAAAAAAATATCTTTTACACGTCCTTCCTCGTCCTGTTCTGGAAGAGAACGGCCGTGGTGTGGAGGTAAGAGGAGACGTCTGCTGCTATCACAGCCAGCTATCAGAGCTGTGTCTAGGAGAGTGGCTGGCAATGAGACACAGATGTGCTTACAGATAAACACACACACACACACAAATACAGAGAAAAAGGGGAGGCTTTGACTTACTATTGGCTAGTTATATCCAGAAGACGTGCCACTGTACACCTACAGTACGCTACACAGCAATTCTGAAAGCCACTTAGATAAACGTCTAACATTACGAAACCAGGAAGCCTAAAGGGAAACTTGAAGAGATCTGCGAGTACATCAGAAAGCTAGCCCACAAATATTAGGTACTAGATCAGGCATGGACAAACTAAGGCCCGGGGGCCGGACGCGGTCTGTTCAGCCTTTTAATCCGGCCCGCCAAACTTTTCTAAATTATATAATTTATAATTTATCCCTGCAATACCCACATTTTCCCAAGAGATGACATAAAATATGTAAACACATTTTAGCCTTTAGCCTTGACATGTCATTTATCTTGGTTCACACAAATGCTCCATCTATCTCTTTGCGGCAACGTTGCTTCCTTAACATCTTTCAATTATTGAGAGAGTATTTTTTGCTAAAAGTTGCATTGCAAAAAAAAACTTGCATACAGTACAAATGTGATATAAATAATATAAACATATATAAACATGTATATATATCAACAACAGCAACTGTTAGTACATTAGTCCGATGCAGTACCTTGAACCAACAGACGGGTCGTGTGGAGAACTTCACCCTGGTCACTGTGGGCTCGGCATGTGTACGCCCCTCTGTCATCTCGAGTGATGCCAAGGATGGTCAGACTACCATCATGTACCTGCGATGAGATAACATATATTAGCGATGTCCGATATGAATTGTTTGTCGATGTCCACTTGATTTCTGATTCTGATATCAACCGATACCGATATACGTCTGGTCATTTTTATTTATTCATCTGTAAAAACAACTGTGTAACTGAGTATAAGAGTAATTAAATGAGCTGCAATGCTGCCATCTAGTGACTTTTACTTTAATATACAGCCGTATCCCCAAAACTATTTTTAGGGCACACATCATTTGGCGAAACCCAGACATTGCGTTATCGGGTGGTTATTATCGGAGGAACAAACTATTCTTACAGATTAAATAATATGCTAATATCGGGCCCATAATATCGGTCGGCCGATAGTACTCTGGGCTTGTGCAGTACTGTTCAAAAGTTCCTCACCGTTTTCACCACACAGGGCAGTGGCTTCTGTACTTGTGACTCTGAAGAGGACTTTTATTACGACACCTCAAGTTTTTAAAACCATTTGGTGGAAAGTTTTTTTTTTGTTAATGTAAACGTTCCTCCTCCTCCTCTTCCTCTTCCTCCTGCTTCTTCTCTTCTCTAACCCTCTGTCACATTCCCCTCCTTTCTCAACGATGTCTCCATGGATATAAGCACACAGATGAGCAAATAACCAATCACGCTCAGTCTCACCAGACACATAGGTCGCTCTCATCACCAAAAAAGGATCTCTCTCTGTTTTCAAATTTTCTGTGTTTTTTAAAACAATGTATTAGGAAGAAAAAAAAAGGAATGTGTATTTCTGTGTATAATGCACTGCAAGAAATTTGGCCTAATTTTATTTGTATTGTAACACCCAACCAATTAGTCCAAATGTAATATTAACACAGACAAATGTGAAAATAAATGGACCAGGATTTTGACCAATCAATGGTCAATGTTAGGATGAAGGGAGCGATGGTTTTGATTCTGATTCTGATTCTGATATGGACTGCAAATTAAAAAATGAAGAGGAGATATTTATCTGATATAAGAAAATTTAGAGAAGACACATAAGGGTAGGGCTAAGTATCGCCAGGTACCTCTCGATACAATATTAATAAAATAGTTTGCCCACAATTACGACAATACGTTGATTCTGCGATAATCGATATTTTGCATTTCATCCACGATACACCGCGATATCTGTGTCAGTGAGGACGTGCAGAGTTGATAGACTGCAGTGAATGATAGCCACATCAGTGCATCCTGCACAGTGGCTCTTCTTAAAGGAAAATTCTGGCGTAACTGTAAACAAAATGAAACCCAAAAAAAAAAAAGAAAGAAGCAGCATCCAGACTGAGCTGCGTTTCCTGCTTTCACTCATTTTTCCTTCTCCTGCAGCGTTCAGTCTTTGCAGTGACTGCGCTCGTCTCCTTCCCTCCTGGTTCTTTTCCTCCCCCTCCCTCCCCTCCTCACTGCCGACTCGGACAGATTACCGCACGTGGTGTAGCTCGTATGCTAAGCGTCATCATGTGGAGGCTTGAAAAATTGCAGATAGTTTTTTTTTTTTTTGGAAATAATCTGTTTAAGAATCTGTAAGTGTTTATAGTTTGATTACCACTAACATATTGAAGACAAAATATTGCCATATATTATTGTATCTATATGGGACAGATGGCCTGAGCACCAAGAATAACATGATGGAAAATCAGTCAGCTTGTTTTAAACTCAGGGTCTACGACTACCTAAACATCAAATCAGAAGCAGAGTGTGACACGGCACAGTACATGTTTCCAGTGCAGATGGATTCCATCTTTGCAAAAATCAATTGTGGAATACAGTATATATATATGTAATTGTCGAGATCACAAAAATCAATTGTGGAATACAGTATATGAGAATTGTCGAGATCCATCTTACTGAATATTTAGCATTTGTTGTAAGTTCCTCCCCCTCCCGTAGCCAGCTGATCAAGGGTTTGGGGTTTCCCTGGGCAGAGCAGCTGAGCAGAGTGCTTCCTCCTTCCTTGGCTTCAACATACTGTGGTGGTGTGGAGAGAAATAAAGGCGGAGCTGTGGATGAAGAAGAGAAAAACTCATTTTATTTCAGAATAGGGTAAAGTGAGTAAGACAACGATACCTTGTTTTAAAATAACTGTATCTATAAACACACCTGCTGCAACTTGGGACAAAGCTCTAGATTTGAATTTAGCTGCCTGACTGTCACAGTTATTTCAGTGAAAAAAAAAATTTCAATTCAAATTAAAAAAGGAGCGGCCGTCTAAAGAACAAACCTGTTGCCATGGTTATTTATGCTCTTCACATGTTAGGATCTGATACTGTAGATGAATAAGCAGCCAATAGAAATGTAAAAACAATCTCTGTGTTCTCTATCATCACTAACATACTGTCTCTGATGAGTCAGTGGAAACAGTTAACACATCACCATGGCATCGTTTGAGATGAAACCTTGATTGGACGATCCATTATTTCATCTGTAGCTACATCTATGGATGACAAAACATTATATTGGCATATTATAATATAATGTTGCACTTTTATTACCCACACTTCTAAGATTATTACGAAAACAGACACCAAAAATCATTAAAGACCTCTACAGCACCATATTTTATTTGCTAAAAGGTAAAAGGAGAGTGTGCTGCAGCAGAAAGGGCCCATACAGACCAACAAGGAGTGCAGCACTTGAGTTCCTGTGAAGTATGAAAGATCCTCACAAGAACCAAATTTGTTTTTGTTCAAAACACTTCAAGAAAACAAACAGAAGGGCTATACGAATCAAATATAACTATTTATAATATCAAGGATTAAAGATCTCCCAGAGGAGCTGGAAGTCTTTAAAACCCTAAATAAGGCAACAACAAAGAATACGTATGATGTAACAGATGTAACTTTAAATACAGCTTTTTTTATTTATAGTATCTAGTTCTCTCTGGTCCAGCCTTAGCTCCACAACTGAAGTGGATTCTCACTTAGACAAAATGCTTTCATTAATTTTCATCCATATTTAGATTTCGATCTCGAGGGACTGAGCATCAGTTTGCAAGAAATGTGTGGTGATGACAGCAGCAGGTTCATCGCAGCAGCTGGAAACTGTCATAACGCACGGCTTAACACTATAGGAAACCTGGGGACGGCTCCACGATAAAAAAATAAATAAAAAAAATCCAGCATCAACTCACCTACTTAGAGCAACTCTTCTCCACGTATATACATTAGAGAGGCCCAAAGATTCTCCACGTCTACAACTCTTCTCCAGAGACCACGCGGAACATTTGCCCATGACGATTACTCACTAGAGAGTGCATCACTTAGTTCTTTTTTTTTCTCTCTACTTCTAAGAGGTTTCAGCTTTTACAGTCCGGAGTTTTACAGATTTCCTGTCATCAGCCCTTTCAACGTTTCCCTGTATTTCAGTAGAACGATAAAAATGAAGGTTTTTCTTAAGTCGGAAACTTAAGAAGTACGTGTTTTGTCATGTTTTCCTTCCTACTTTTACTACAAAAATACTTGCATTACATTGCTCCCTGTTCACATGAACACATTTGAATTACATGGTGAATGTTGTTCAATCTGTACTGGTCTCCAGTCTAAACCTTCTCTCCTGCCAAACAAAGGAAAGACGAGCAGAAATATACGGATGATACCTGTGAAAAAGGCATCCAAGAAAGTCCCAACAGGATATTTAGGAAGATGAATGGGGTAAACTGGGAATGATATCTGGTAGGTAGAGTAGTGACAAAAATATTTGGGAGTTGTATGAGAGGTCAGATTGTAAGTAAAAAAAAAGGTTTGGAAAGACAATGTAAAATAACTGGAAGTGTTAGGTTTCATCAGCAGGAGGAGTTTTCAGAGGAATTGTTGAGGAGTACAGAGATATAGCAGTCAGATGGTGATGTCTCTGTTAATCTGTAGAAAGGAGTCGGTAAAGGATGTGCACGAAGCCAAGAGGACTGCAGTGCAGTGTGCAGTCACACCGACGTGGATTTACCTTAAAGACATAATCCAACAAAAGCTCTGCTGTCTGCAGTCCTGACGGACTTGTTGATAGAGTCAGGTGAGAACATCAGTGGTGAGAGTAAAGAGAAGATGGAAGAGAATGTCAGGAAGTGGCAGCCTCCGATGGAAATAGGAGGAATAAGATCATCAGATGTTTGTGAACGACAGTGACGCAGGCCCAGGTGTAGATGTAATGAACGTACACAAGTCAAAATATCTGTAGTGGACGGTGCACAGTAAGGAAGTGGACAGAGGTGGGCCTCAAGGTCTATTTATATCTGACACTGACTTTCAGTCCAGAGTCAGAAGAAGAAGGAGTCAGAGTGGAAGGACTAGTCAGAGTCCAGAAGCCAAGTTAAAGTTACTGTAAGAAAATTTCAGGCAGAGTCACAGTCAAGGCCTCAGGCTCTCAAGTCAAAGCCAACTTCAGTGAAGAAAAGAAGGAGAAGTCCCCAGGGTTTCATGTCAGGATCTGTGACACAGAGGGAAAAGTTGGTTCCAAGTCACAACAGACTGGAGGCATATTTCCATGTGATCTGGAGACTGTACCCTGCAGGTGGGCTTCCATATATACACTGTGGTATTTATTCATCAGAACAAAATGTGTCGTTACATGTTGCACAGTTTTCTGTCTATTCTGTTGCTTCTTCTCTAACCGTGAATCTTCACATGACGTCACTTGGCTTCACAATAAGCCCATTAGTACGGGAACGAACAGAGCTGACGAACAAACGAGCTGACATTTGAGCCCCAGCTGTGTCAACCAAATGGGGCCCTAAATGCCATACCATCAGTAACACAGTGACACAGTGTCAGTATCCAATTTTTTGTCTTTCAGTCTGATTGTATAGTTTATCGTCACCCCTTGGAAACACCGCTGAAGCTCGCAAAGCAAATAGAAGACGGAAGGGCAGAGGAGACAGGAAGAAAAAACCAAGATAAATGGGAGAGAGAGAGAGAGAGAGAGAGAGAAAGAGAGAGTAGCCCTTGTGTTTTTTGCGGGCACTAGGCCTCGCCATCTGACACCTGCCACTGAGTGTGCATGAATATCCTGTCCGTTTGGCAAGAAGTGAAGGCCTGACAACAGGAACTCAGAGAAGTAGTCTGTGTGTGTGTGTGTGTGCGAATGCTAATGGTCAAAGGAAATGGGTTTCCTACTGGTGTGTGTGTGTTTGCCTGTGTATGTGTGTGTGCCTCACAGGTGGCCGTTTAAGGACAATGCTGGTATCATCAAATCCTCTCATGAATTTCCCTTTGAAAATCTAGACATGGAAATGACGGCTCCATTTCCACAGGAATATAAAAGATTTAGTGTCTTCTTGGCAAAGTAAATGTATGCAACAATATTAATTACATCAAGAGTATTTAAATTTAAGAGCTGCTATGTTATCTCCATGTGTTGCCATGAATACAGCAGTTGAGAAGCATTCCATGAGTTGAATATTCCAGTAGTAATACATTACTCTCTAAGCCTTTAATTAAAATGAGACTTTTATAAATTGAATTCTTCAATTAATTTTTCAAAACATCAAGAGATTGATTTAGTTTTGAAGACACATAAATGTCCTCTGATTATAAGGAATGAAAAAATTGGCCACGATGATATCACTGCAGTGCTGCTATATATAGCGCGGAGCTCTGCTGTTCGTTAGAGCTGTACACCTACACACCACACCAACAACGTATCAAAATGTTCAACCCTAGTCACATTGTAAAACAAAGAAAAACAATTTGAAAATAACACTGTTTTTGTCTTTAATATCTAAATACAAAAGATGTACTACTACACTACTACTTTCCTCTTTGTTTCCTGGCAAATAAGTACAAATATATTAGAAACAATATGTATAATGAAATATTTAACAAACCATCACTAGCAGTGTTTGTGCATTTTTCAACTTTCAACATTCATCAAGCAGGCCCGCTGGCCATATGTTTGGCACCAATGTGTAAAAATCAGACCAACTTTTTTAATAACACTAAATAGCCAAACCTGTCCAGGTCATTAGGTGAACTTATTCTGGGCCAAAACTGAAAAAAATTTGAATTGAAAATGTTCTTTTCAGATGTCATCCCTGTGGTATTCTGGAGAGTAATCTTGGCCCGATTTTACAACAGATGCCCCTTCTGACACAACCCTGCCAGTTCATCGGGGCTTGGGACCAGCACCTTTTGGCTAGGACAGGCTCAATCTATCTACAGCTCAATTGAACACTTTTTTTTACATTAGTACGACATCAGGGATTTTGTGATAGATATTGTAATTTATCCTTGTCCAACCTATGAGGGCTAACCATCAGAATATTCCACACAGACAGGCTGACAACCAATAACAACAGTCGTTTATCCACAAACTGGGACATTTGCCAAGGTGTACAGTAAATCACACAAACACACACGACATAAACACAGAGTAATGTGAACTAAAAATCTAGTCTGATGTACAATGTGTTTTTTACACGGTGCATCCATCCATCCATCCATCCATCTATCCCTCTATCTATCTATCTATGTATCTATCTATCTATGTATCTATCTATCTATGTATCTATCTATCTATGTATCTATCTATCTATGTATCTATCTATCTATGTATCTATCTATCTATGTATCTATCTATCTATCTATCCTCTGAAAGTGTAAGAGACAGAATGTCTGAGGATTTTATGGCTCTAAAGTCTAACGTCATGATTTGTCGTGACGTCTTATTGTATCTTTTTGTGTGTTGAATTTGTGCCCATGGAACAGCACAAAAGCGTTATGTCAGTGGATTTATGTTGTATCAAAACACTGGAGACTATTCATGTTGCTGTAGAATATGGAAATTAGACACACACACACACACACAGGGCATGTGAGCTTCAAAGACTGACCGTTAACTGTGAGGTGCACCCAGCTGCCGTTGTAGAAGGTGTCGAACTGTTGCTCCAGCATCAGGACCTTGCACTCGTACCAGCCCTGGTCCTCTGAGCGCACTGGCTCAATCTGCAGGGAGGCCTTCCCATGCAGGGTGGCTCGACCTGAAATACAATTGACAATGTGAATGTCACATGAAAACCTGAATATGTTGTTGAGGTCGTGGTTACATTCGAAAGTCCACCTGAGTAATTTAGAAATACATGAAACACTGATATTGCTCAGCAGAATGACAAGAAGTTTTGTTTTTCAACTTGATATCTAGGCAACAAGTTGTGACAGAAATGACCAGAAGTGAGCATTAATATTCATTTGAATTATTATTATTATTAATAATGCCTAATGCATAATTTAATTTAGGAAGTAGTAAGTCTTAATTATCTATTTATATATATCTATTATCCATTTTCAGGGTTTACTAAAGAAGATATAATGTGATTAGTAGTAAAAAGGATCTGTTTACTAGACTATCACGTTTCTTATCATTATAAGCTACAAATAGTTTCAAGGTATAACGTAGGTTACCACATTTCTCACTACTTTCATTACCTTCACTGCTTTTACAGGCTTACGCCTTTTCTGTTCTTGATCTAAATTCTTAGATTCGCCAATCAAACAGATCAATGATCGACCTGATAATCCTCAGTCCAAGCTGTGAGTGCCATCTGCTTTGATTGAGTTTGCTGAACGAGTAGCATCAGTATCTATCTATCTATCTATCTATCTATCTATCTATCTATCTATCTATCCTCTGAAAGTGTAAGAGACAGAATGTCTGAGGATTTTATGGCTCTAAAGTCTAACGTCATGATTTGTCGTGACGTCTTATTGTATCTTTTTGTGTGTTGAATTTGTGCCCATGGAACAGCACAAAAGCGTTATGTCAGTGGATTTATGTTGTATCAAAACACTGGAGACTATTCATGTTGCTGTAGAATATGGAAATTAGACACACACACACACACACAGGGCATGTGAGCTTCAAAGACTGACCGTTAACTGTGAGGTGCACCCAGCTGCCGTTGTAGAAGGTGTCGAACTGTTGCTCCAGCATCAGGACCTTGCACTCGTACCAGCCCTGGTCCTCTGAGCGCACTGGCTCAATCTGCAGGGAGGCCTTCCCATGCAGGGTGGCTCGACCTGAAATACAATTGACAATGTGAATCTCACATGAAAACCTGAATATGTTGTTGAGGTCGTGGTTACATTCGAAAGTCCACCTGAGTAATTTAGAAATACATGAAACACTGATATTGCTCAGCAGAATGACAAGAAGTTTTGTTTTTCAACTTGATATCTAGGCAACAAGTTGTGACAGAAATGACCAGAAGTGAGCATTAATATTCATTTGAATTATTATTATTATTAATAATGCCTAATGCATAATTTAATTTGGGAAGTAGTAAGTCTTAATTATCTATTTATATATATCTCTTATCCATTTTCAGGGTTTACTAAAGAAGATATAATGTGATTAGTAGTAAAAAGGATCTGTTTACTAGACTATCACGTTTCTTATCATTATAAGCTACAAATAGTTTCAAGGTATAACGTAGGTTACCACATTTCTCACTACTTTCATTACCTTCACTGCTTTTACAGGCTTACGCCTTTTCTGTTCTTGATCTAAATTCTTAGATTCGCCAATCAAACAGATCAATGATCGACCTGATAATCCTCAGTCCAAGCTGTGAGTGCCATCTGCTTTGATTGAGTTTGCTGAACGAGTAGCATCAGCAAGATGGATGCCAGCATGCGCAACAAAGTCATTAGAAAGGCCAGGTCTGTTATTAGACTCAATCTGGAGATGTTTGAGTCAGGAACAGGATGTCATTGAACAAACTGTTCTCCATCATTGACAACAGATCCCATTCCCTCTGTGACATAGTGCAATTACAGCATATGTCTTGTTCCCAAAGACGTCAACTGCTGTACTATGTGCAGACTGCAGGACTGTGACCGTCAACTGCTGTACTATGTGTAGACTGTGAATGAGTGAGTAGGACTGGGTCCACTGAGATACTTTTATTTTAACTTAACAAAACACATCAATATATTTGTCTATCCTGTGGTCCAAGCTAAAAATATTTTTAGATTAATTTTCTTAAACCCAAGGTAAATATTGTCATTGAGAAAACTAAAAAATGTAATTATTACATTATGACATTGCTTAGCAGCAGCAGGCCTCAAACACCTCACTCCTTCACCTTGACCTTGATCGCAAACCCCAAATTCTGTTTTCTTTGTTTGAGACCAAAATGTGCAGCAAAAAACCCTCTAAAAACCCACATCTTCATTTGTTGCTAATATTATCTGGTACAGAGCACCGACAGAGGACTTCTGTAAAAAGTGTTTGTGTGTCCACATGATGAATCATGAGGGTTGTTTTTGTGTCGTCTCTTGGACACGTGACAGAGTTAGCTATTTCTCACTGACAATAAAGTAACATAAATAAACTATGAGCGGAGACAAAGACTCGTCACCAATTTGGCTAACGTTTGAATCTACAATAGCCAAATGTTAAACGATTGGAGCATTCATGTTCTGCCACATGATGATATCCAGTAATAGTTTGTATTTATAATTATATTTAAATTTAAATGAAGTACAGCTGTTTATGAGATGATTTATATTTGTTCAAGGTACAGCCATGCTGCATCACAGAAAACCTTGAATTTCTCCCAGTGCCATCCTGAGCCAGTACAGAGAACAACATGTAAAGGAACTGTAATCAGGAACTAGGAACAGGTCCAGGCTCTGGACAACACCGTACAGTAAAAACAAGTGCAAATCAAACCATAAAAACCATGCCAATCCATAAATCAATGCAAATTTGTACTTCAAATCCACAGTTAAATAACCACATTTTCTGTAGCATTAGGTTTTTACTGATAAATAACAACGTTAAAAGACAAACACAATTATGAGAGGTCTGAATGTTTTGTTTCTGAATGATTTAAACATAAATCTAATTATTACAGAAATAAAACAATCAAGAAAGAAGAAAAAACAAGGACAGGATGGTGAGAAGCCAAAAAGGATCCATCATAATTTTTTTTTTTTTAAAGTTCTAAATGTAACTTAAATTAGCAGGGGGGATTTCATGATTCCGATACTGTAACCAATTGTGTACAACTTTCAGCTACTTTCTCCACACTCTGCACAGCTCACTACAAAAAAAAGAAAGCAGAGCTTTTATACTTTCTATATTCATCAACCGGAAGATGACTCTGAGTGAGTGACTCAGTGTGAATGAATCAGTGGTTCATTCAGTGAAGTTGGTTGCTGTGTCTGTGCATCGGCTTCATCAACCACTGCATATTCAGCGCTATGATTCATCAAGAAATCACAAATTACGTGTATGAATTGCAGAAGTCTCTCTCCTCCCCCTCACTACGATAACAGAAAAAATTCTGTTCATCCCTGATGTTGAAATACAAACTAGGGCAGTCAAACTTAATCAGTTAAACACAATGATTCATCTGTGAGATTATTCAGATTATAATTCAAGCAGTGCATTTAAATGCACATAATCGTTGTTCCAATACACAATTAATAATAATTCCAATGTTGTTTTTCACCCACGGAAGCACTTCAAGCTCCAAATACTAGCTCGCTGCTCAGCATGTGGTTGCAGAGGCTTCAGCTTCAGTTGAGTTGAGCCTTACCTGCGTCACACTAACCTTAAACAAACAGAGGGTAGAAATGAAGGCTACAGTTGACCAGCTAAATTACCAAAGGGACTGTCGACTGATTAGTACTGCTGAGGACAAGGGTTGAACTGTTCTACCAGCCATCGACAAGGTGCACAGCAGAACTAGGCTAGATATTAACCAAGAACCTAGGATGGTACTGGAACAATGTACATCCCTGACACAGGAACCAGTACTTGGAACTAAGTCAGGAGGTAAACAGAAATCATAACAAGAATCTTTCTGGATAAAGTGAGTTGTTCAGCTCTGAATGTATCTTACCTGTGTACTCTGGATCCACATGAGGTGGGTAGAAGCGGAAGTTAATAAAGAAGGGAATTGGCACACCGAACTTGAACCACTCCACCACATAGGGTGGCTGCTGGCCGTCCAGGGGAGGGGATACGTCACACCCCAGGATCACGCTCTCTCCAGCACGCGCTGTCACAAACCGGGGCTCCTCCCTCACTGTTTGGGCACCTGCAGGAAGAACACGGTGTGTTATGATTGGTCAAAAGAGATTCTGCCACCTCAGCAATATCTCATTGGACTCAGGTCCTCAAATGTCCATTGGGAAGCAGTTATTCTGCATTCAACCTCTACACTATGTCAAACATACGGCCTCTGGGCCAAAACTGGCCCGCTAAGGTTTTCAGTCCGGCCCACTTGATAAATTTGTAAAATAAGAAAAATACATAAACACTCGATATCTAATTTGGTTGTATGCAGCCCATGAATCAAAATGAGTTTGACACCCCTGCTCTACACTGTTACACCAAAAGGCTAAAGGTCAAGACAGTGTTGATGATGCACCTAAACCCACTCCATCACACACATCCTGAACCATCCCTTTAAGAATCACTGAGCTCTACAAACGTGCTTAAAGCTTTGCCTCTCATCAGCGTTTCCACTGCCTCCACCATTATGCGTCGGACTTTTCTTGGGCGCTACGACGCTGAGCTAAAAATGAGCTGCCAGAGGCTTTCATTGATCATGGTTGGCTGCTGCTCACATGAGCTTAGCTGTGGGCGCAGTCAGGCCTTGCAGTCAGGCCTTGAGTGTCCAGGCGTGCTGCTAAGCATTGACCCATTGATGACTGAAAGGTGGGCATACCTGCCTCAGCAGAACGCTCATTCTTCAAATGGATTTTCTCTGGCTGCCAGCCCTGCTTCATCGAACCTACAGTACAGCCTACAGTACAGGGTGCTCAGCCCCACCCAGAGGAGAAAACACTTCAGGGATCAGGAGACCTGCTGAGGTTTCACTCTGGATGCAGCTGAATAACATACAGCAGTTTTCCTGAGCAGAATTATCTGCATTGTAAAATGGAAATATAAGTGGAATCTAAGGGAGATTCTCTCAGATCACAGTAAACAAAACTCAAGTGATTTAAATAAATTACATTTGCAGACAAAGAACACTTCCATGCCATAGATCATCTGCAAAAAGAACACTTCCATGCCATAGATCATCCGCGAAATGTAGGCCACATCCTTCTGTGTGTCCAGTCCACCACACATCTAGAAAAATAATGTACCCATTTTGGATACCATACAGCAATCAAACATGACTGAAGCTAGGGTGCAAACCACATCGGAATTCCAGAATGTAGGCCACATCCTGGCCAAAGCTGGCCGGCCTTCTTATATTTTTTGATTCAGTGTTGGTTTGGTTTAGAAGTGACCATTAATCTGGACACCAAACTGGGCCTCCTACTGGCATTCACAAAAACTTGGCAGCCTTGGTGGCAATACGGCTTCCTAGCTCAGTAATAGTCTGTCTATGAGCGGTCGCCCAATAATGAAATTGTAAGTCAACTGTCGGTTGCAAAGGTAGTGCAGGTAGATGTAATTCAGTGAAGTGCAGTAAAGTTGCCTCCGAATGAAAAAAAAAAATACTATAAACTGGAATCAGATGAAGCTATACTTCTAAACACCTTCAATAATATTGAAGAAAAAAAAAATTTTTACATCAGCTTCTCAAAAATAGAAATGAATTTAGGACCACCCATGTCTATCTCCAGAACAACAGGGGGTCGCACATAATACTGCATTCCTTCCTGTTGATCTGTAAACAGGATTCAGAGAATGGAACAACAAAAAGGCTAATCAGAAACTCTTGTGTCATTTGAACAACTTCAACAAAAAATATGATTTTTTTTTAAATATGTACTTTAGTTAAATTGTGTATTTGCTTTGTACCCCAGTGTATTGTCCACATTAATTTTCTATTCTACCATTTAAGGGCACCAATTAAAAAGTCTTATCTCACACTAATGTGAAATGTTACAATATGGATCAACAGAAAATTCTCTAGACATAAAACACAAATGGGAATTAGAGATGAATATCACCAACAGTCACTTATTTGTTCTGGGGTTTTTTTTAGAAACATTTTTTCTTTTTGTATCTACAATGTCTATAGTATTGCAGAATTTCTTTCTTCTTTTGTTCTAGCTTTAGCCTCCTAATTAATGTGTGCGTGACTGACCTAGATTCAGAAGCCCCTCCTCCTCTTCTCACCTGCAGCTCATCTTCTCATCAGCACTGCACTACTGTGAAGTCCCAAACATGTGTGGCTCCAGTCTTACTCATACACTCAGATGTCTAGGAATAGCTCCACTCCACTATCTGTTGGATTTCCTTTACATCTGTGTACTGTTTTTACCTGCCAGGACAGGCATTGATGTTTTGTCTAAAATATGTGGCAGAAAGAAACAAAATTTACAGATTAGACCGAGTGTACTGACAAAACAGCAGCAACAAGGACTTCACTTTCTTCTGCTTTGACTGTAACACAAATGCAGTGCCAGATGTTCTCTGTTTTAATGCTTGGTGAACTTGAAGTTAAAATTCACAGTGTTAATACTTAAGTTTCACACATTCACTAATGACAATTGTAATTAATCGTGATTAATCCACAGCTACCAAGTGATTAATCTGATTACAGTATTAATGCAACTACTCTTTAATAAAGTAAAAACTATCATATCATAGTGGTGGTAAAATAATTATTATATTATTATATGTTCACTAAAAATATTTCATTATTTATTTTTCTTTAAAAGTGAGGTTCACTAACTGTGAGTATAAATAAATGAACACATTTTGGGGCGTCCTCGGACTGCTGCTGCAGTGTTCATATTAAATCAAGTCAAGTCAGTTTTACTGAATCACATTTGTCTCATTGGACAATTTTAAATAAAGATTAAAATTAAACCTAAAATATCCTCCTAAAACATTTAACAGAAGGGGAAATGGATATGTATACAGTCAATGTCTGTATTGAGTTTAAATTAACGATACAGACTAAAGCAGGATAAAGTTACAGTTACACACAAGCATGACGACTGTAAAACTCCCTGAGGTCATACTAGGGCGAAACACACCACTGCTGGACCATAGAGTTAGTATTACCACAGAGGTGTACTTCATGTATTTTTAGACCAAAAATGAACCTAGGAACTTGGAGAAATGACACTAAATAAAAAGTGACAGCCTCACTGCACAAACACACAGATGAATTAAGGTCTTTGGTCCACAGAGTCTACCTGGATTTACAGTATGTCGAGAGAACACAATTACACATTGTGCTTTTATTGCACATTTTCAAAAGGGTGATAATTAAGCAGCCTTCAAAGTTAGTCTTTTCAGCCTAATCTGCCCGATCTGATAAACAGGCATTCACAGAGCGCTGTAGGGTTTGTTTTCAGGGAGACTCCACTGGGACTGGTCAGTGAAAAGAGAAGGGAAAGGATAGAGGAGGAGGACGCAGGCCTCGGCAGGAAGAGCTGATATCTGCCCAGTTCCAAGAGGCTTTCACTGGCTTTTTTGAAAACCGGCCTATAGCTTATTAAATTCATTTGACATTATAATCGTGCTACAGCACCAAATGTAGTAAATATGCGTTTAAACATTAACTTGGGAGCAGAATATTGCAATATTTTTGGGATGAAGTCAAACATTAAAGAGTGAAATTATATTTGATTTGGATTTGACTTAGAGCCTATGTCTGAATTTTCAGACATGGTTAAAAACAATAATAATGTCAAGATAATGCAAGGTTAGATTTCCAAATTGAGCCCACCCATGTGATGAGTCAGGTTCAAGTACTTGGTCAGGAAGAACTGAACACACAATAAGACGTGTGCAGTAGCACAAGCATCTCATACAGTGTAAATGCCGTCAAATCTTTGTCAGTATAATATATAATCACACATAACATTCGCTGAACCAACAGTGTTGATGTATTCATTTTGATGGTGAGTAGAATATTGTCTATAAGAACTTTAAATGTCTAAGTGCTCTGGGTTGAATTTCTTTTCGTGTGACAGCTCGTTCCTCTTCTTGCTTTGCTGCACCGAGAGCAGACAACACTTCAGAATCACTTTTATTAAGCCTCTACTGTTCCGCCACAAAATGGAGAATTTGTGCTTCAGTCAGTATAAGGAGGCTCTCTGTTCCTAAATCAAACGCTAGCCGCTGCAGCGGAGCAGGTGCTGAGCTTCAGTCTCGCCGTCCTTCTAATAGAAGCCACACCTCGCAGCAGACCAGTTCAGACTTGGTATACAGGGGGACAGTGGAATCATTTACCGCAGCACAGCTTGGCACATATCGTCCTTATTTGTACGCTAGTTGCAAAAGTAAGGTTAAGTCACCGCAGTGGTCAGGGAGCATAACAAATATAGACAAAAAGAATATTGTTCAGTTTGCAACTCCCAGAACGACAGGTTATGACAGAATACAGAAGAAGCAGAGCTAAAGTCTCCAGCAGCGTGGCGGCTCTGGTGTGCTCACACACAGTGACACAGCAGTTTGACCCTCCGCTGCTTGTGTATTTTAAACTCTAAGACATTATTTCCACACAGACATAGTAACTATAGCTGCTTCCAAAGTTAGATGTACATTTTTCTGACCACAGCATATATTATTTAGTCACTCTGATATCTTAAGAACTTAAGGTCACACTCTTCTCTGGGAAGCATACATATCCACTACTTTTAATTGAGGGACCATTGTTCTATATACAGTATATACGTTGTATATATGTGTATTACACCTAGACAGACCTGGGGTTACATCCCTAAACATCAATTGTCAATGTGAAACATGCAACAACTATGTTGGTAGACAGGGTTACTAGTTTCATCAAAATGTGTTTGTGAATGATGTTCCATAGTCTCAAGTATTACACCCTTTAAATGAATGGAGCCAGTGGGAGTTTAGAGATACTGATGGTGAGAGCAAAGACAGGGCAGTAGGCAGAGGTTACACGAAGGAGCTGAAGGTCCTGTCTGCTAGCATCGTCTGCAGCAGCAGGTTTTATGAATGAGGTTTGAGTGAAAGAAAGAGCTGCACTATATTAGTATGAGCATAAGTATAGTATAAATAAAACAAATATATACTTATAACAGATTGTGTTTGCCTGCAAAAGGCTAGAGAGGTTCAAATACATATTTTTGGAAAACCCGTTAGACTGAGTACGTTAAGTTGAGTTCCTTTTCTAGGGCAGATCACAGATTTACTACAGAGTCATGGCAGTAGCACTCATTTTCAGCACTGGAGTTTGATGTCTGAGGCAAGTCTACTTTAAACCACGACGTATTATGTTAAAATATTGTAATTATGACCTTCCATGTTAAGCCTGCAATAACACAACGTTCTCTCAAGCCTTGTATTTTATATATTTCTCTAGTGCAAATAAACATTGCTTCACAGTACAGTATATTTACTTAACCTTCATCGTAATACACATCAACATATTAAATATCAGGAAACATGTTGCTCACTAACTAAATGATTCTTTCCCACAAAATACCTGCAAATTAGATATTAATTCAGATTATCTTCCAAAGACATGGTTTGTATATTTGCTTAAAAAACATTGTGATCAAATCTTATTGTGCACATAAAATAATAATAAGGATTTATATCCTATCATTAGAGTTAAGTGTACTGTTACATCCCTGTTTATCATGGTGTCAGAATTGAGGCTTTCTTTCTCAGAGCACATGAGCATGAATGTCTGAAGTTTACTGTGGGTCGAAGTGCTCCTTAGTCTGTTTTTTTATGATTCAGCACCATGCCTTAGTTGTTTCATGGTTCTCCTTTTCCCTCTCACACTGAGAGACAGTTGGGGAAAAGTTACCAATTTACATCTGACTGCATCTGTTTCCAAGGCTTTCTGTTTCCTACAGCAAGTCTTGCTTTGTCAGTGTCACACTTGCTCTTTTTACCGTAGATCTCTTCTCGTTAACTATTACACTGCATGGAGCGCATCCCAGTGCCTCCTCTGACAAGTGCTACAGGCCGTGCGACAACATGACGCGCTGTCATGCTAACGCTGAACGAAAGGAAAGGGGGGACAGGGGCAGCGACCCACAGCCCAGTAGATGTGATATATTTCAACCCAATGTTAATACTGAACACCCTCAACACTGTACAAGAGAAAAATAAAGAAATTCAACCAGCCCAGAAAGAGCTCATTACATTTAGGTTTGACATTCATTTCTTAAGACAGAGTAACAACAACCACGATACAGTCGCCATAACAATCAACTATGAATGTGAAAAATGTTCTTTTTATCGGACGTCCAGTATATAACTTGATCAAGGTGCTGTGAAATGTTTTCCAACCACAACATCAGGCTGTGGTTTGAAGCCACATTTCACATAAGCTTTACATTTAGCAGAAAAGGCAGCCAAAAAGTTCAAGCCACAACAACTGTCCAGGGATCATTGGCTACTGTACCTGTCTGTCGAAGTGTGAGCTGTGTGTGTGATTGTTTGAGCATCAGCATGAGTCACGACTGAGTGCACTCTCAACTTTGGTTCTCCTAAATGCAGAAAGTGGCATTACAATATGAATTATGTGGTTGTTTACTGTTATATTCACAAAATAATAAATTCTTTTCTTTTATTCACCTGCATTTTTATTTAATATACTTGTTTAGCATTTAATGCTTTGGGTTTTTTATTTTTATTGGCATTTATTTACACATGTAGAAGTACAATGCTAATCCTTCCTATAAAATATGTTATTTTCTAAGGAAAAAGCACCAAATTGTCCACGCTACATCTAAGTGCGGTTCACTCCGTCCCAGAGAACCTGAGATAACGCTACCAAAGAAACAGGGCCGTAGAAGACATGAAGGGACAAAGTGTGTATTCTTCAAGTGTGATTAGGAGCAGGAATATGCTAACCAACAAGAGAGATTAGTATGCTACTCTGGTTAGTGTGGCCTAATGTGTTTCACAAGTTGTTAACCACCACCGTGCTAACATGGAGCTAACTGGGGGGTAACTGTAACCTGATCTTCCACAGATTACAGATTACTGTATACATAACTGTATATATACAGTATATGCTCTATTTTAGCTAGCCAGATTCCCAATCTACAAGCATATCATAAAAAAGTTCTCTCATGGTGGGCATTAATTATAAATCACTTGGACTTTTCAGTATCTTGGCAAGCTAACAAGAAAGACGAATCACAAAACACCCAACGGAAATATGACTAAAAATGCACAAATAACAGTCAGATTCTACCTAAAAATGGCTTTCCGTTTCAACTATTTACTGAAATAGCTACCTGTGCTACATGAAAACAATTCAGACAAATATAATCTGGGTGTTCTTGGGTGACAGAAAGGCGCCTATGAAATAAAAAATGTATTATTATTTATTATTATGTTACAAAACGTATTTCACAAATTCACCAACACATTGCAGAAAAATAATTCGGAATTTTTTTTACAGAAATCCTAATATTACTAGATTGTAATTAGGAATTGAGCCATTAAAATTGTATTATTTTAAAAATAAAAATCACCAACATGAATAAAAACTAATTTTATCCACTGACTACCAATGCCACAGCCAAGTATTGGAAAACCATTGCATTACGACAATTGTCTGTTCAATTTTGTTTTTTACATTTTGTTTTCTAAATGATTTGTTTCTGAAATTATTTCACAGAAGAATACCAAATATGACACTTTAAATACACTGTCTGTACCACATGTTACAAATCATATAATTGTTCTGGGTAAAACACACACATTTTATTTAAAATGTGACACTGGAAAGAAAAAGCAGCCATTGAAAAGTAATAATTCTCCCTGTGTTGTAGGATAGCTATTCCACATTAACTACAATGACTAACATTTCCTTCCACAATAACATTTGGCAGTTTTTGTTCATGCTGGGTGTCTTTCTTGACACAACCCTTGGGTGTAAGGACAATCTGAATGGACCATTCACTGTGTAACACATTACCCTATCATTCCTAAATATTTATAGTTAAAAATTGGTTTTATTATGTCAATAACAGGAAAGGAATTGCGCCACACTGTGGTCACTTAGAATAAAGCTGCCAAAATATACTAAAGATTGCTTAGCCAACTAATTTCTCTATGTTTTTCGATCCGATTATCAACATTTTACCATCATCCATCATATTTGGTATGCTATCATAAGACAGACACAATGAGGCTCGCCCTTGTGACACTAAGACTGTGCTGTATGAGGGCTAGCTAGCTGAACAGCCAAATTGCCACTCACCCATACGAGACACTTTTTTTTTATTCACGACTAAACGTTCAGTCCCATCGTGAATTAGTCTAATTATAACAACAGCCATGACTTGCAATAATAGTTATAGTTATTTATCAGAGTGTATCTATAATGTGAACACCGGTGTTGGTTAGATTAACGTCAGGCATAGCCCTCCATTTAGAAAGCACCTAATTCCCCACACATGTGAAGGAGCCTTTTATTTCAGGGATGATCCGTGATATAGACCACAAATGATGTAAAAATGTCACACAAGGACGAAGAACAGCAACAGCAGCAGCATCAACAGCAGCAGCAGCATCAACAACAGCAGCAGCAGCAGCAGCACTATCATCTAGCAGGAATCAACATATCTGCCGTCATTCATGTTTCATGTGCTGCACGTCATACATGTGTACACACACGCACTCACTCACATACACATCACACTGCACTTCAACTCACCTTGAGCGGCCGTTCCTCTGCTGCTGAATACACTTGCTATCAGAGTGGCCACATACCAAATCATAGTACTATTACCGACCAGCCTTCACCACGCAAAAGTGCCACTTTCGACCAATCTCTCTCATATTCGACCTTGCACATTTAACAGCTACACGCCTTCTTTCTTTTTTTTTCTTAGCCTCTCCGTCTCACATCCTATGTTCTTCTCTTCGTCTTCCCTTCATCATCCTTTCTTTTTCCCTCCTTCTTCTCATCCGTCCATCCGCAACCTCCTCTCCCAAAGACGCACAGCACCTGCACGGTTTGTAGTAGACCAGCCGTTTTTTTTTTTTTTTTTTTTTTAAACGAGCGCATAGTGAAACCAAGTGTGAGGGTGTGAGCCAGACGCACGGTCCCGCCTCTGCGCGTTGTGGATTGGCTGCGCGTCGAGGCTGCAGGAGTGCGCATTGGTGCGCGTTGACTGACAGGAGGAGGGGGAGTGAGAGGAGCAGGAGAGCGCACTCTCAGCCAGCCGCCCAATACGTGCGTGCGTGCGTACGTGCGTGCGCGCCGATTCAAGGTGAGTTGAAGTGTGTCGTAGTAGTGGAGCCGCAGAATCATGCGCACTGACAAAGACGGAGGGAAAAGAGGAAAAACGGAGGAAGAGGAGGTCGTGCATATGGTTGCGCGCACGTGTGTACTGTGTGTGAAGTACTCGCTTTCTCCCCCCCCCCCCCCTCCCCCTCTCTCTCTCCCTCCCTTCCTTTCCCTCTCTCTCTC